AAAAAAAAAAAGCCAGCAAGGTAAAAATAAATGAATTCTCATCTAGACTCAAGAGATTAAAAAGAAAAAAAATGTTTAAGATAATTATAATTATTGAAATTTTAATACATTTTCTAAATTATAATTAAAATAATATAAAAATAAATTAATACATAAATAAATGAAAGTGACAAATTTAATACCTGCTGGCCACTGTGTAAGACCAGAGAGGGAGGAAGCTAATCAACCATCTATAGATCTCACCTACTCAAATGGATCCCGTCCCCATCAAAGAGCTATCCAAATGGAGGTCATATTCGCAGTATTAAACTACTCTAATGTAAAATCTGTGCAACAATCTTATATGTATGTTATTAAATATTTCAATGCTTTAAGGGAAAAAGACAGCTATATAAAACTCATCTGAGATTAATAGCAAGCAAGTATTAATATGCCCAACACTTTCAATATATAAAAATGACTAAAATCAGATGTATCTCAAGATTATCTTGGCTGTGGTTCCCCAATCTGGATGCATATCAGACTCCCCTATGATACAGCAATTCTATTCCTTGGCATTTACCCAAGTGAAATGGAAACAAACATGTTCACAAAAAGACTTCTGCAAGAATGCCCACAGCAGCTTTATTTGAAACAGCGAGAAAGTAGATTAAGTCCAAATGTCCATAAAAAGAACTGATAAACATATTGTCGTATGTACATACGGTAAAACACTATTCAACAATAACAAGAAACACATTCCTACTACCTGAGATAACACAAGTGAATTGCTCAGACTTCATGCTGAGTAAAGATGAGAACCGTGAGTATACACACTGGATGACTCTACTTACCAAAGCTCTACAATTTGCAAATCTCTCAGGTGCAGGAAGCAGGGGTGGGAGTGGGAAAGGACACAGGGAGGTTTCTGGAATAATAGGAATGTTCTGTATCTCAGTATGGGGTAGGTAACAAGCTACCTCATGGCAAACTCATGGCACATCTGCGCATTTCACTACATGTAAATTCTACCTCAATTCCTCTAAAAAAAAAAAAAAAAAAACCGCAAAGCTCTTTTCTGAAAGATTTTACGTAAAGAAAAAAAAACTTAATCCCAAAGCTAACCTAGTAATCTAATAATCTAATCCAATGACTACAGTAAATATCATCTGAAACCTTTGATTAATTTTATTACCTCTAAATTGTAAATTAACAGGCCAAGTGTCATGGCTCACAACTGTAATCCTAGCACTTTGAGAGGACACACTGCCTGACATCAGGAGTTGAGACCAGCCTAGCCAACATAATGAAACCCCGTCTCTACTAAAAATACAAAAATTAGCAGGGCATGGCAGTGCGCCTGTAATCCCAGCTACTCAGGAGGCTGAGGCAGGAGAATTGTTTGAACCCAAGAGACGGAAGTTGCAGTGAGCCAAGATCACACCACTGCACTCCAGCCTGGCACCTAGCAACAGTGCGAGACTCTGCCTCAAGAAAAAAAACAAAATAAAAACAAAAATAAATAAAAACAAT